TACTGCCGCCTTGCTGTCTATGAACCTCCTGCACATTGACCAATCGTTTAGCATTGCCAGATAGTCTCCAAATTCTTGTCCGTCTTGTATCTGGTGCAAATTCAAATCAAGACTCATCTGTAAATAAAATAGAGGTTGAAGTCGATGAGCGCGATTTCCTCTGGATAACACAGGCACTAATGGTTTGGCTACTTACAAATACCTCATGGATCTCTTGCAGCCCCACTTATGATTGTGATGCCGTTATAGTGCTATCTCGCAAAGGCTGCGACCTAATAAAATGATCTTCAATCTGGTTGGTTATCCTTGTACGGCCTGTATGACGTTCAGCAACATTACCAATTTTTTTGAAACGTTAACCACAAACGATTAGTGACACTTCTGTTGATGTGGATGACCTCAGCAACATCTCTCCATTATTGGCAATTGCAAAACTAAATAAAAATCCACATAGACATTGAAAGTCACGTACCAGTAAAGAAATATTACTTTCTATCTTATAGACAAAAAACTTATATTGAAGTTTGATTAACTTTTTTATAGTTATTCTTATAAGGATTATCATCCAAGTTCCAATAATAATCCACAAAAGTACAAAAAATATTAAAAACATTAATTTATTTTTGTATTTGCAGCTAACATTGATTTAAAAATATTAATAGAGGTATCCCCTAGATTATTTTAATTTATGACACTCTGATCAAAAGATGCTTTACTAACTTTTATAGTCGAGTTAATACAAATTTTATTCAAAATTGATTTGATATTTAAAATTGCCTATTGCTTCAAGCGTTGTTTCTAAGAGAACGGTTGATTCTACACAAAAAGTTCTAATTAACGTTTCTGTTAAAAATTATCTTAGCTTAATTTTTATTGGAAATTGTTTTTTGGTAAATCGGTAGGGTAGGAGTAGAAGTTTTTTGTATATTTTTGGGGTTACAAAACTGACATTGTTTCAAAGTTCAGCTTGCTCATATGATTTTTAAAGATTCAGCCACATTTCGTCTCTATCTAACGTGTAGACATATTATCAGGAAAGTCATACTAGTATAATATACTAAAGAAAAGAATTGATGCTACTGTTCTTAAAGCATAATTAGATGCTTAAATGATTTACATATCTCCTTGCGATGGTTCTTGTGGAACTACATCTAAATCGTTGGAGAGGAGTACTGGTGAATAAATATTAATAATTTTTATAATATAATATATCTCGTTTATTCGCTACTTATATACATGGAATAGTGGATTGATGGCATTACTTATTTATTATGAATGTTTACGTATCACATTAAAAACATGACAGAACTGAAATACGAGTAATGACTGTATGAACAAAGAATATAGACGCTTAAGCGTCTATATTCTTTGGTATGAATAATAATAATCGACTATATTGTAACGATACGATCGTTGATAATCTAACATTTCGAACGTTAGCAAAATCACAGTCAAATAATGAAACCGAATCACTACAATAGCTACTAATTTGCGCCGTCGAGTAGGCAACCTAGAATACAATCTACGATATCGATGTAGGTTATAATAGAATCGATTCCCTTGTCATTGAAGAAGAAGGAAACCTAACCTTCTTATCTATGAAGGGAATTCTATTCATTTTAGAAAAGAACTTCAAGAAGATCAGTTAAGTTATCACGGTAGGCAGAACATCGTAGCAAGAGAAAAAAAAAATAAAAGTTATTTATTATTTTTGGGAAATGTGAAGAGTTTTTAGTTATTTGAAGAAGTATTTAGTTTGTGTGCAGTTTTTCTTTAGAAAGTTACGTTGTTTTTATGGGAAAATCATTCGAAGGTTCTCGTCAATTACTTTCCATAGACACAGTTTTCCATTTAAATATTAGTCCTCAATCATCTAAACTTTCTCACCTTAGTAGAAATATCCAACTACCATTTTTTATATATACGTACATAAGTATGTTCCAATGAGAAAATATTCAATATTTGAGTCAAGGTCACTTAATGACAATATATTCTAGTTTTTTTATTTGAACAAAACCTATAATAAGTATAAGAACACAGAATAAAAAGGTTTTTTTTTGTTCTCTTGTAGCCCACTAGGCTCCAATCTTTTTAACTTTTTTATTCGCGGAAGAATATTTTTTAATTTGGGAAATACTTGAATTTGGGAAAGAATTGGACGGTTAATTTTGGCAAAGAAGCAATATTAAGTTGGAATTTTCTGACTGGTCTGCCAGTCCTAGTCAGTTGTTAGACTAGTCAATGCGAGCTGAGCCATCTAAGAGCCACAGCCAGGATTAGGGAACTTCCTTCCCAAATTTCAATTTGTTTTATATTATATATATTATATCCTTGGATACTTAGATCTTTAGCCTAAGTGGGTTACAAAACAGGTTTGTACACGATCCCTGGGTCGAACCCTCACCTTGCTGAATCCCTTAAATTGCTTTAATCTTTACGTTTTTAATTTATCTTGAATTTATTTATTTATTAATATTTTACATAACAACATAAGTTGTCA